GAGCCTTTCCCAAGTCTGTTGGACAATTTAGGGGTGGAGGGAGATTTAATATTGACAGGACTGTGAACTTTGTAACATAGGCCCAAAGCTGTGAGGCTCAAGGCTGAAGTCCCTGCACACACATTTCAGAAGCTATCCTGAGTGTATTTTGCTGTTAGTCTGGATTATAACCTGTTGATTTCCCCTATACACACTAAAAAAAAAAATCCTGTACCCAACAGCGGCCTGGTCATTTGCTTCATTTATTTGATTCTGGGGATGGTCAACTCTAAACCATCTCAAATCAGCAGCTGTGAATATTTAGCCCCTGAATAGGCTTCCTGACCTAACCTCCTCCTGATTTTATTCTCTATCTCCTGCCCACTTGGTTTATGCTTAGAGAATGCAGATTGATGTTAATACTCACTTAAAGATAAAATAGTGGAAATGTATACATTTCTTTATCAAACAAGTTTTAGTAAGAATTTTTAAATTGTTTCAGCAGTACAAATTGTTATGACCAGAAACTGCAAGAAATTCAGGGCAGATTCAGAGGAGGACATATGAAGAGAGGAGGGCAAATGGATATCATTGCTGATGTCAGAAAGAGAATACCAGAAAGAGATTTATTTCTTCTTTACTTTTATTCTTTATTCTTGACATTTTATTGGCCATGCAAAGGTATTTAAATGTGTGGATCATAACAAATTATGAAGAGCATGGCAAAGCATGAGAGCTTTAGAACCTTCACTTGTATCCACACAGAACATGTACATAGGCCAAGGCGTAGTCCCTTGAATAGAATGAGGGGATGCCAGATGCCTTAAAATCAAAAAAGTGTGCCTTAGTGTTGCATTGTTCACCTATTTATTCAATCTATATACTGAGAAAATAACCTGAAAAGCTGGACTATATGAAGAACACGGCAGCAGGACTTGAGGGAGGTACACCAGCAACATGCAATAGGTAGACAACAGAGCTTTCCTTAGAAAGCTGAAAGGAAACAAAAATCCTCACAACTGAAGTAATAGGCAAGATCATGATAAAGAGAAAAGATTGACTTTCCCAAGGATTTCATTTTCTTTAAATATACAATCAACATCCATGAAACCACCAGTCAAAACATCAAACAGCGTATATTGTTGTTAGGTGCCATCAAGTTTTCTACGACCCATAGCAACCCAATGAACAACAAATCTGAACCTTGCTCTACCCTGTGCTAGCCTTGTGATCTCTGATCTGCTCAAGCCCATTGTTACTGTCACTGTGTCCACCCATCTAGTTGAAGGTCTTCCTCTCTTTCACTGACCTTCCTCTACGTTTCATGGCATGATGTATTTTTTCAAAGGACTAGCCCCTTCTGACATGCCCAAGGGATGGAAGACAAAGTTCCACCATCCGCACTTCTAAGGAGCAACCTGGTCGCACTTCCTCCACTTCATTTTGGCAGCAACAGATGACATTGGATAAATCTGCTGCAAAGTGTGCAAAAGGAAAGAGGTCTAAGGTGTGTCTAACCCAAGCCTGAGGAGCTCTGGTGGCATAATCAACAGAGAATTGTGCAGCTACTGCAGAGGCCACTTCTCAGCAGTTCAAATCCACTAGTGGTCCCACAGGAGAAAGGTGGGCAATCTCCTCTCATGGAATTTAGAGCCACAAAAGCCTAATGGAGTGAAGGTCAGCTGTGACTTGATTCCAAGTTGCCGACAATAAAAAACAGATCCCAAGTCATAATACATTTAGTAATTCCATATGCACGTGAACATTGGATGATGAATAAGGAAATCTAAAGAATTGATGCATTTGAATTATGACGTTGGTAAAGAATATTGAATGTACCAGTATTGAAGTGGCAGCAAGAAGAATTAACAAATCTGCCTTGAAATAGAGTATTCCTTAGAACCACAGATGGCAAGAAGGATAGATATATGTGCGGTAATTTAGCGAGTCCTCAATAAATTAGATGGATTGATGTGATGGCTGCAATTATGTGTTCAAACGTATCTATGTTTGTGCGGGTGGCGCAGGACCTGGCAGGGTTTTGTACTGTTGCATGAGTCGGCAGTTATGTGTCAGAACTGACTCAAGAACACCTAAGGGGGGCGGGGAGGAGGAGAATAGCTAGGCACTTGAGAATAACAAAAACATGAAAATGAGACACTGATGCAGGCACTGGTGTAAACAAGAAAAGCATCATCTATGCCAACATGGGCTTCCTCTTCAAAGAGGAGATGGAGATGATGAAACCAGGTAAAACAACATGGTGTGAGAGGTATTGGGTATCATGGAGTGGCCAGCATATGGACCAGGCATTGCTGAAGGCCCCCTGGAGGAGATGACATCTAAGTTGAGCCCAGAATTGCCACCAAAGAGGAAGGTGAAGGAGGTACAAGATGAGCAACAGCCACATGAGGAGACAGAGTCCATGGTGGTGCAAATGGTTAGGACTCGTTGCCTGTGAAAGTTTGGATGTTTGAGTACAGCCTGATATGACTTGGAAGAAAGGCCCTGTGATCCTCTTCATAATAATGAGCCATTGAAAACCTTGGAATCCAGTTCTGCTGTCATATGGGGTTCACATGAGTCATACTTGACTCCAAGGCAGTTGTGGTGGTAGTGGTGGTGGTCATGGTGTGGAGACAGAACATGACGGAGGAACTGAAGATCTGAATTGGGTAAAGAATATCAACCTCATCTTAACCCAACTTCCTCTTTTTATTGTAAATATTTCACAACACCCTTCACTACAGTGAAATGGAATTCACAGGCATTACAGTTTGCCTACAAGGAGACTTGGGGGTGAAGTCACATTCTCTGCTGTAAACCAGGAGGTTGGCAGTTAGAACTTACCAAGCTCTCCATGGAGAAAAATGAGGGACTCTCTTCCTGTACAGACTTATAGACTCAGAAACCTGGTTGACGGGTCACAATGACTCAGAACTGAACTGACAGCAGTGAATCTGGGTTTGGTTATCATTTGTCTGCATATACAATTCCACAAAAGTATCACTCAACTGCACTAAGATTAATACAAAAGAAAAGGAAAGTAACTTTTGAAGGAATAATATGTACCTTGGTGTATGTTTATATGCACAGGCATGAAGCCACAAGAAATTATAATAAAGTAAAAGGATGATCATATACATGCAGACTCGCTACGTAGTTGTGAAAACGCAAGTATTAGTGATTCAAATGTATTAAACATCATTGTCATTGATGGTAAAGTGCTCTGAAATGACAAATACATCTTGGTAAAGTTCAAAACCAACATGATATCTTTATCCCTTAGTATTCTTGGTAATTACATTCCTTGAAAATTCAATTCATATTAAAACTATGTAAAAATACTTCATTTACATGGGTTTAAAAATATCAAATGAACTCTATACTCAGATAATTATAAACAGAATGTTCTGCTATGTTCAGTGGTACGTTAAAAAATGGTAAGGAACATGGAATGAGTTTCTATTTTGTGAAGCTGCTCTGAGCATTGCATAATGTCTAGCGTTCCTGGCCTTCACCCACCAAATACCAGTAACGCACTCCACCCAATTACTGTGAACCAAAACCACCTCTGTGCCCCACAGGGGCCAGTACCTCCCTTACTGAGGGGAAGGCAATAGGATAATGAGAAACTTAAATTTAAGCTCATTGCCTTGTTATCAGAATCTACTCATTCATGACTGACTCTCCAGCCACTTTCTGAGGCTGCAAATCACACAGGAGGAGACTGCCCATCTTTCTCCCATTGAGCTGGAGGTGAATTTTAACTGCCAAAGGTGTGGCCTTTAGGTTAACAGCACAACTGCCTAAGGATTCCACCACCAGAGCTCTTTAAACAACTAAAGGAAGTAGATATTTTATCTGTAAAAATGGAAAGCCATTAAAAAGTTTTAAGGTGAGTGTTATTGGGGGGGAGGGGTGGAAGTGTCTTTCAAATGATCATTATGACTGTTTCAAAGATTCTATAAGCACAATACTGAATGATGGAGGAAGCATCAAAAGACAACAGAAGGAATACACAGAATTTCAAAAGACCATCAAGAACAAACAACATTGAAGAAGCCCAACAAAAGTCCAGGTATTAATGGAATGCTTGATGAGATCTTTCAACAAACAGATGCAGTGCTAGAGACCATCAATCTTCTGTACCAAGAAATTAGAAAGACAGCTACCTTGTCAACCAACTGAAAGAGATCCATTTTTCTACCCATTCCAAAAAAGAATGATCTAGTAGAACACAGAGCCATTGTTAGGTGCTCAATTACTAAATGCTACAGCAGTTGTTCAAACCCACCCAGATTTCCACCCAGATTTGGCAAGCTGTACCCAAAAAGTCATAGCCTTGAAAATTCTATCCTAAAGCTCTCTTCTGAACACATGGAGTCACCATCATTGGAATAGATTCTACAATTTTGAATAGCAACAGAGTTTGATGGAGAACAACACTGTCCATGTAACTGAAAAAAGGCAATATTTTGAAAGATTTGTGGGGAATTAGAGTTCCACAGTTACACTTTGGGATGAACTGCAGAAGCCGTAATTTCTTAATTTATCACAGACAGCCTACTCTGAAATCTTCCAAATCTAAGATGAATGGATTAACAAGCAAAACTATGACAGTAAAGAGGGAAAAGAAAAAGTGTTCTTTTACTTTCTTTGTCCTAAGTCAGTAAATGTAAATATTAAGTTGTTGTTGTTCTTGTTAAACATTTTAAAAACATAGAAAGTCTTGTGCTTGTTTCAGCAGCACATATACTAAAATTGGAATGATACAGAGAAGATTAGCATGGCCCCTGTGCATGGATGACATGCAAATTTGTGTAATGTTCCATTATTTAAAAAAAAAAAAAAGTAAAAACATGGGAAGTCTTAAAATCTACAGTCCTCAGCAACTTAAAAGATTGGTTCGAGCCCTTTTTGAGCCATTATTCTCATAGAACACAGATGATGTTTCCTTTTATTGTAACCATCTTGAGAAAGTTGTGACCACACATCTTCTTTTCTCATTATTTCAAAAGCTTGGTCTTATTCCCCGAATCAGTTCTTTGGAGAATTTCTGCAGCAAGCAGGACTTAGATGAGTATCGGCTGTACAACTGTGCCCAGATTGCCTCTGAAATGGGACCGCGGGTTCTCCCTGATGCATGTGAAAGACTTATCGTCAGCATGTCGGCCAAACTACACAACGGGGCAGTGGGTGAGTATCAGTCTAATAGATTTCACTGATGCGCTGGTATCTGTACAAATGCTTTTTGGAATGTGGGCAAATCGATTTAATTTATTTTAACCTCCACTCTCCACATCAATTTACATATCAATTGCCCAGTGATTAGATGCACAGAGCAATCTATTGATGTGTAGGAATCACAAGGCACAGGACAGTAAGTGGATAAAAAGAAGCTCACAGTAGCATTGGGAAGCCGGGCTGGTGGAGCACTTAAAAATGTATGTGGAATCCTAAAACGTCAGGATGAAGATGAACTCTGAACAATGTATTTCATCCCAAAAGCTAAACTTGATAAATGAGAGAATTAGAACCCAAGGATGTTACATCTTGCCCACATCACTTAGTGATGTGGTGGTTGTAGTTGTTATGTGTTGTTGAGTGAGAACTTACTTACAGCTGACCTTCCAACAGCTTTTCAGAGACTATAAATTACATGGAAGGAGACTGTGTATCTTTCTCCCACAGAGCAGTTGGTATATTTGAACCATATCCCTTTAGGCTGGCAGTGCAACTCCTTAAGACTAGGCCACGAGAGCTCCCTGCTTAGCTGTATGTTGTTGTTATTGTTGTTGTTGATGATGATGATGTTGTTGTTGATGTTAGATGCTGTCAAGTCAAGTACAACTCATAGCAACACTATGAACAACCAACCTGAACATTGTCCTATCCTATATCATCCTTACCATCTCTGACATACTCAAGTTCATTGCCACATTTACCATGTCAACCCACCTGGTTAAAAGTCTTCCTCTCTTTTACCACCCCTCCATCTTTCCAAGCATGATGTTCCTCTCCAAGGAATAACTTCTCTTAGCAACATGCCCAAAGTAAGTGAGACGAAGCTTCATCATTTTTGCTGCCAAGGGGCACTCTGCCTGCACCTTCTCCACGACATTTCTGTTTGTTCTGTTGGCAGTTTATGGGATAGGCAGTACCCTTCTCCAACCCCACAAAAAGCAGCCATTCTCCTTCTGTCATCCTTAGTCATTGTCCAGCTCTCAGATGCGTAGCAAGTGATGTATAAGACACAATACATCTGTATCAAAGCTATTGATATTATTGGCTGGGCAATTATTGGTCTTGATGTATGGAGGGTCTTGTATATGGTCGAATATTTAAGCATCATCCCTAGCTTCTACCCAACTGGTACTAGGTGAACCTTTCCCCACTAGTTGTCCCATACAGGGCAAAACTATACTTCCCACCCTATTTGGGAGCTCTGGTGGCCTAGTGGTAAGGAGTAGTGCTGCCAGCTCAAAGAGAGACAGTTCTAATCTACCAGCTGCTCTATGTGAGAAAAATGAGCATCTCCTGTGTGAGGTTTATAGCCTTTGAGAACACGCCAGAGGGTTCACCATGACTTGACAGCATGTAGCAACAGCACTGCTTGAGACTCTACTACGGAGCGACAGTTAAATAACAGCCTCATTATGCTTGGTTAGGTGATAAAAAAAATAATAATAACAGCCTGGCCTTATAGGGTTTTAGGCAAATGATCTTTCCATTTATTTTAGAGTTGTGGTCTAAGAGTTCCTATTTTTGTTGTTGTTGTTATGTGCCATTGAGCCATTTGCGACTTATAGCAACCCTATGTACAAGAGCCCTAAATGCCATTCTATCCTGTGCCAACCTCACCGTCTCAAACACACTCATTCCCATCACTCCAGTCACGGAATCGATCCATCTCATTGAGGGTCTTCCTCTCCTGCGCCGTCCCTCCACTCTCCCAAACATGATGTCCCTCTCCAAGGACCAGCCCCTCCTTGCAACATGCTCAAAGTATGTCAGACAAAGCTTCAGAATCCTTGACTCCAAGGAGCATTCTGGCTTTACCTTCTCCAGGACAAACCTGTTTTTTTCCTAGCAGTCCATGGTATATTCAACACTCCTCTCCATCACCACAGCTCAAAGGCTTCAATATCTTTCTATCATCTCTATTCGCTGTCCAACTCTCTGATGCATAGCACGTAATTGCAAAGACTATAGCCTGGATCAGGCACACCTTAGTCTCCAGCCTGACATCTTTGCACTTCAGTACTCTTGAGAGGTCCCTCACAGCTGACTTTCCCAGTGCAGTTCGTCTCCTGATTTCCTGGCTGCTGTTACTAAGAGTGTTGACTGTGGAGCCAAGCAAACTAAAACTGTTAACTATCTCAATCTCTTCACCATCCATACTGATGCTGCCAATTGGCCCAGTGGTGAGAATCTTTGTTTTTTTGATATTGAGCTTCAATCCATCCATATTGAAGACTGCAGTCCTTGACCTTCTGCAGCAAGTGCTTCAGGTCCTCCTCCGTTTCAGCGTGCAGGGTTGTGTCATCTGCATAACACAGGTTGTTGACGATTCTTCCACCAGTCCTGATGCCACATTCCTCGTCGTACAGCCCAGCATCTCAGATGATCTGTTCTGCATACAGATTGAAAAGGTATGGAGACAAAATACATCCCCGACGGACCCCCTTCCTTGATTTTGAAACCATCCAGTGTCTCCCTGCTCTATTCTGATGACTGCCTCTTGGTCCAAGTATAGGTTTCGCATTAGCACAATCAAATGTTCTGGGATTCCCAGTCTTCTCAGAGTCAGCCACAGCTTGTTGTGATCCACACAGTCAAAAGCCTTTGCATAGTCACTCAAATTTCAAAACCATCTCTGGAACAGGTTTGAGGCCTTGAGCACCAATGAGTGTAGACCAAATGAGCTCTGGGAGGATATCAAGAAAATTGTCCATGAAGAATGCAAAAGATCATTACAAAGGCTAAAGAAGAAGAAAAGACCAAGATGGATGTCAGATGAGGCTCTGAGTATTGCATTAGAGTGCTGAGAAGCCAAAGCTAAAGGAGGAAATCAAAGAGCTGAATAGAAAATTTCAAAAGGCAGCTCGGGATGACAAAGCAAGATACTATAATGAAATGTGCAGAGAGTTGGAGTCAGAAAATCAAAAGGGCCGGACTTGCCCAGCGTTTCTTAAGCTGAAGGAGTTGAATAACAAATTCAAGCCATGGGTGGTAATACTTAAGGATAGTTTGGGTAGAATGTTGAATGATCCAGGATATATTAAAAGAAGATGGAAGGAGTATACAGAGTCACTGTATCAGAAGGAATTGGCTTACTCAGAGGAATTTCATGAAATAACATAAGAGCAAGAACCTATGGTGATGAAGGAGGAAGTTCAAGTTGCTAAGAAGCAATTGGCAAAAAACAAGGCTCTAGGAGTTGACTGCATACCAATTGATTAATTTCAACAAACAGACGCTGCCCTTGATGTGCTCACTAGGTTGTGCCAGGAAATCTGGAGGACAGCCAGCTGGCCAACTGACTGGAAGAGATCGATATTTGTTCCCATTCCAAAGAAAGGTGACCCAACAGAGTGTGGAAATTATCTAACAATATCATTGATATCATATGCAAGCAAGATTCTGCTGAAAATTATCCAAAAACGTTTGGAACAATATGTCAACAGAGAACTGCCAGATGTGCAGGCTGGATTTAGAAGAGGTCGTGATACTAGGGATATTATAGCTAATGTAAGATGGATCTTGGCAGAAGAGTGCCCATAATCCCATTAAATAATATAAATGAAGTAAAAATAGATGGTTGTTATGTGCCATTTTGTTGCTTGCGACTCATAGCGACCCCATGTACAACAGCCCTAAACTCTGCTCGGTCCTGTGCCAATCGCACCGTCTGTGATACACCCATCCCAATTACCCCAATCACTAAATCAATCCACCTTATAGAGGGTCTTCCCTTCCTGCTCTGTCCCTCCTCCCTACCAAGCAAGATATCCTTCTCCAAGGACCTCTCTTTACAACATGACCAAAGTATGTTAGACGAAGCCTCAGAATCCTTGCCTCCAAGGAGCCGCCAAGTTTAACAAACATGTTTTCCTAGCAGTCCATGGTACATTCAATACTATTCTCCAGCACCACAGCTCAAAGGCATTGAAAATAACAGTTGTTGACTAGGATATAAAGAAATTGTAAATCTTTTGCATTACTGATGACATTGTAAAATGGGGCAACTATTGTGGAAAACCATTTGTTGTGCTTGAAAAATGCAGTCATAGAATTATGTGACCCATTAATTCCAATCCAAGGTGTACATCCAAGAATATCGAAGTCAGTATAAACATATACTTGTATATCAATGTTTTTAAAAAATGTTCTTCCCAATAGCCAAAAAGTGGGGAAAACCTAAGGTGAATAAATAAAAGCATTGTAACGGTAAATCATAAAGAGAAATGAAATTCTGATTAGCATATAACATATAATAGCATAAATGAACCTTTAAAAAGTGCATGTTAAATAAAACACATCAGACACAAAAGAGCAATTATTATATGATTCCACAAATCTGAAATGTCCAAAGTAAGCAAAACATAGAGACAAAAATTTATTTGTTTCAACCAGAAACTAGAGAGTTAATTGCCTAAGGGGTGCTGAATTTCTGCTTAGGATAATTAAATACGTTTGGAATGAGTGGTGAGGGTGATTGAATAAAAAAAGAATGTAAGTAATTCATCAAATTGTACACTTTAAAATGAGCATAATAATAAATATTTTGTTATATGTACTTCACTACAATTTTGAAAAATCAGTAAGTGTATTCCAGCATAGTAAACTCTACCGTAGTACATAAGGTATTAAAGTTATAACAATGTTTATAATAATAACATGGCAATTTATTTAATCTTCTCATTAACTTTTAAAAATAAAGTTTATTGAGTACTTAACTATGTGCCAAGCACTGTTCTGAGTACTTCAAAGGCATTATTATTTTTTTTAATCTTCATTACAGTATTGAGAGACAGATCCTGTTATTAGCTCCATTTAACCAGTGAGGACATCGCTCTTAATTAAATTAAGGATTCGGGAGTTAGCAAACAAAAAGAGATAGACCAAAGCCACTTAATGGGATGGGGCACTCTCTTCACCTCCTTCACCTCTAACTGCTTGATCTGTTCCCTACAGCCTGCAAGTGTCACCCCCAGGGCTCAGTCGGGACCAGCTGCAGCCGACTGGGCGGTCAGTGCCAGTGCAGACCTGGTGTGGCGGGACGCTGCTGTGACAGGTGCTCCCCAGGGAGCTACAGTCTGGCTCATCATGGTTGTCACTGTATGTAACAAAAAGAGCATTCCCTGGGATTTGAGGGCAGGCAAATCAACACGCAGAGCTTCAAAGAAGGGCTTATGAAAATTTGTCTACATTATTCAAGCTCTCTACAGATAAAACCTACTAAATTTTTGTTTTCTATAATACTTTAGTCATCTGTTCAATGGGCACCAACCCTGCACAGAGCTCTATTAGCTCTATTAGGTGTCAGGTGCTACGAACAATGAATTGTAAACTTCTCCGTGGAAGTTCACAATGGTATAGAATGGATTGCAGTAGCCCCTGGGTGGTGCAAACAGCTAGCGTACTTGGTTACTGCTTGATAGCTTGAGTCCACCCAAAAGTGCCTTAGAAGAAAGGCCTGGTGATCTACTTGCAAAAGATCAACCATTGTGAACCCTATGGAGCTCAATTCTCAGACACCATGGAATTGCCATAAATTAGTAAATTATGGAAATATGATGAAAGGAGTTGCATGGGCAACCACAATTTTTCTAGCTGTCACATAAACCCTGTGGCTGTAAAGGCTGAAATAGTGATGAGATTGAGAAGGAGAGAAAAAGGTCAACACGGTTGCCAAAAGTAAGACTTCTGATGCTGAGATTGACAATCTTGGAACTCATTTGATAAGTTACTCATTACTAACAATAACAAAGATTCTCACCACTGGGCCAATTGGCAGCATCCTGATAGATGGTGAAGAGATTGAGATTGTTAACAGCTTCAGTTTACTTGGTACCAGCAGGCAGAAAATCAGAAGATTAATTGCTTTGGGAAAGTCTGCCGTCAAGGACCTCTCCAAAGTACTGAAGAGCAATGATGTCAGTCTAGATACTAAGATGCATCTGATCCAAACCATGGTCTTCTCAATTACTTGCTATGAATCAGAGTGCTTGCTGACTATGGATGAAAGCAGAAAAATTGATGCCTTTGAGTTGTGGTGAAGAACAAACAGGTTTGTCCTGGAGAGGGTGAAATCAGGCTGCTCCTTAGAAGCAAAGATCTTGAAGGTTTGTCCAACATACTTTGAGCATGTTGCCAGGACAGAGACATCATGCTTGGAAGGGTCAAGGGACAGTGCAAGAGAGGAAGACCCTCAATGAGATGGATTGATTCAGTGACTCATGGGGTAAGTGTGTCAGAGACAATGAGGTTGGCTGACAGTAAAGCAGGGTTCGGAGCTATTGTACATCGGGTCACTATGAGTCACAAGCGACTTAACAGTACATAACAAAAGCAGTGTTCCAATGAAAACTAAACAGTGACTATAAATTACAGAAGAATTGATGCCCTTGAGTTGTGGTGCTGGAGAAGTGTACTGAATACCCTATGAACTGCCAAGAGAATAAACAAGTCTGTCCTAGAGAGGTGCTCCTTGAAAGCAAGCCTGGTGAATTCTGTCTCACATTGTTGTTGTTGTTGTTGTTGTTGTTGTTATGTGCCGTCGAGTCATTTGCAACTTATAGCGACCCTATGTACAACAGCCCTAAACCCCGCTCTATCCTGTGCCAATCGCATTGCCTCTGACACACCCATCCCGATTACCCCAGTCACTGAATCAATCCACCTCATAGAGGGTCTTCCCCTCCTGCGCTGTCCCTCTACTCTACCCAGCATGATGTCCCTCTCCAAAGACCTGTCTCTCCTTGCAATATGTCCAAAGTATGTCAGACGAAGCCCCAGAATCTTTGCCTCCAAGGAGTAGTCTGGTTTAACCCTCTCTAGGATGAATCTGTTTGTTTTCTTTGGATATATTATCAGAAGAGGCAACTCCTTGGAGAAAGACATCATGCCTGGAAAGGTTGAGGGTTGGCGCAAGAAAAGAAGACCCTCAACCAGATAGTTTAACATCGTGACTATGCCAAGGAGGTCAAGTGTGTCAAAGATAATGAGGTTGGCTCAGGATAGTATAGGGTAAGGTCACAGCCATTGTTCACAGGACCACTATGATTCATCGTCAACTCAATGGCACGTAACAGCAACAACAGGGCTTCAACCAGAAGTGATCACTTGAGCCTCCCAACTGTAGTGTGGGGAGCAAATAGTCATCTCTTCATAGGATGAGGCAATTAGGGACAATAGATTTCCCACTGCAGCCTGCCTCAGGAGCCACGAACGGAATCGGCTCTCCTTTCAGGTGGAGTCGGAAAGATAACGTATGGTTTCCTGATTAGTCACCTTGCACAGTGCTTAGGCCCATAATTTGATTTCTCTTTCTTTTAAAACTTGTTACAGTTTTTTTTTTGTTTTTTTTTTTAATTTTATTTTTTTTAATTATATTTTATTAATTTTCATAAACATTTACAGAGATTTTGGGCTTCCACTCATTCATTGTTGCACTATTCTCTCTACCCTCCTCCCAGTTTGTTCTTGTCCAAATGCCACAGTGCTTGTCAAAGCCAGTTCTGATTAATCTTCTTTGTCAGTGTATCCTTTGCCATTCCCTATCACTCCTCCCTGAGAGAGACTTCACCCTGAGTCATAAGGAAAAGGGGACGGCGTATTCTCTTAGCTACTTCCTGCTGAAAAGGGACGCTGTGGGTTTCAGGGTGAAGATCTTCTCTCACTACTCTAAAGGGCCCCTTTGGCAGTAGGAAACACATAGACTATTATGGAGACTGATTTTGGAATTCAGATGCACTCTTATTGATTGTGCTTGGCTGTACATGTACATATCCTTCAAGATGTATCATGGGGGTGTTGCAACCTAGAAGACACAAATTTGACTAACAAGTTATAAGTACATGAGTCCAAAAATTATGGAAAAGTAAAAGAAAAGATTCTTTCATTGTTTTACAAACCCTCCCCCAGGTCCCCTTCACCATGCAGCCCTCGCTCTAGTCTCCTGTGATGACAGAAATACCCAGTTACATCTCTCTTTTAGACGGTTCTCTCCCTCCTCTGCTTCAGTGCAGTATACATTATTGAACCCATCTTACTCAGTGTCTCCCTAACCCCAAGGACGGTCCCATTCTACAACAGTGGCATCATGTAATATTTGTCCTTTTGTGACTGGGATATTTCACTCAGCATAATGTTCTCCAGAGTCAACCATTTTGAATAATATTGCATGAGTTCCTTGTTTTTTAATGCAGCATAGTATTCCATTGTGCGAATATACCACAGCTTCTCTAGCCATTCGTTTGTTGATGGGCACTTAGGTTGTTTCCAACTCCTTGCTATTGTGAACAAAGCTGCAATGAACATGGGTGTGCATATATCTGCTTGGATGTCAGCTAACTTGTTACAGTTTTGATGAGAGTTTACAGAGCGAATTTGTCTTCAATTCAACAATTTTATGCACGTTTTGTTTCCTAACATTAGTTGTGATGCCCCCATTACACCCTTTCTACTTCCTTTTTTGGGGGACCCCTGGTTCCACCCTTCTTTCCTGCCCCTTCCTGCATTCTGAGCTTGATAGGTTGACTGTACTTGGCAGTATGTTCCTCACGAGTGACATCGTCCACTTTGTAGGTATGTCTGGGATCAGTTCCAGGTTTGAAGGGTGACAAAGGGACATGGTCCCAGGGTTCCACCAGACTGTATCGGACCCGTGGGTTTGGTGCTTTCCATGGTTTGGAATTTCGTTCTGTCTTTTTCTCCCATTCTGTTCACAACTTTCTGTGATTCCAGTGCTTTCATTTTTAAAAAAGTAATGTGAAGAGTTTGAAATACACAAAGGGTAATACACAAAAGATTGACTATTTTTTCTCCCCCTGCATACAACCCTGTCAAACAACCAGGCAGCTCGAAGGACTTTCAGCAATTTATCAGAAAAGAACACTTTTACTTTCTCATCTAGAAAAAAAAAATCTCACTTTCTTGAGAAAAGTGTATGTGTATGTGTGCCTGTTTGATTTCGAAACTTGAATTCTAAGTGGAAATCTCACTCACTGAAAGCATGTTACCTGTTTGAGTCCTCCGTACAAACAACAATGTTCATGCTTTTTCCCACCTTCAGTGACTCCCTGGGGCTGCAACATATATAGAGGTGTGTTTAATGAATTGTCATTTAGTAAACATTTATCTGATGCCCATTAGATGTCAGACTCTGTCATATCACTTTCTAGACTCACTTTCTTCTGTTTGATTAAAATGACAGACTAAATTAAAAACCAGAATCCAATTGTTGTGGAGTTTACTCCAGCTCCTGGCAGGCCCACATGCATCAGAGTAGAAGTGGGCTCTGTAGCGTTTTCAATAACAGGTTTTGGAAGTGGGTCACCAGACCTTTGTTCTGCAGTGCTGCTGGGTGGGTTTAAACCTCCAACCTTTCAGTTAGAAGCCTAGCAAAATGTTAACCATTTGTACTCCCTAGGAACTTTTAAGATAAGCTTTTTTAAAAAAACCTCATTGTCATCAAGTCAGAATTGACCCCTAGCTGAACCTCCAGCAGGTTTTCAAAAATGCTGTAAATCACACAGGGGGAGACAGTTCACCTCTCTCCCACAGATTCACTGGTGGATTTGAACCACCAGAAAGTGTTGCGTTAGCAGCACAATTCTATACAGACTACCTCGCCAAAGCTCCTGTTGATAAGTTGTCACTGTGGACCATTGGGTCAGAACCAACTCATAGCTGATCCTTCGTGGGGCTCTCAGAGGCAGTAACTCCCATGAGAGAAGACTGTCCATTCTTCTTCCTCAGAGCCTCAGAGCAGCTGGTGGTCTTGAACCCATGCCTTCGGGATTGTAGCGCATCTTCTTGCCACTAGGCCACCAGAGCTCTTGATAAGTTAGTGAATATAAAAAGAAAACTGTAGCCCTTGCACCAACATATCGGTCCCTTTTCCAAACCCAAAAGAGCTTGTCTTTGCTCTCTCCAGCGTGTCACTGCCACCCTCAAGGCTCGAAGGATACCTTATGTGACCAAGTAACCGGACAGTGTCTCTGCCACAAAGAAGTGGGTGGCCGCCGCTGTGACCAGTGCCTGGCCGGCTATTTTGGATTCCCCAACTGCCATCCATGTTCTTGTAATGGGTTTGCTGAGCTTTGTGACCCAGTAACAGGGTCATGCTTCAACTGTGGAGGCTTTACAACTGGACAGTACTGTGAAAGGTATGGTCTTGATATGCACTTTTATTTCTCTTAGAGCTCTCGTGGACTAGGGGGTAGAGAGTTGCACTGGAGCCATTAGGTGGTGCCCCTCTGGTTGTTCAAACCCACCAGCAACTCCAAGGAAAAAATATGGATAATCTCTTCTCTGTAACATTCAACCTACAAAGCCCCACTGGAGGGATCAGCTCTGAATCAGTTCTGAGTTGGTGGCAAAAAGTTGAGTTAGAGGTTATGTGCAATAGTTGTTTTTTTTTTGTTTGTTTTCTTCTGATCTCATTACCTTCTCTGAAAGAGCACAAGGTAGAGTTTTAACAGTATTTAAGTGTAAAATGAAAATTATGAAATGGGAGTAGCGGAGTAGCTACAATATCATTCAATAATCTTTCAAAATAATTATATGAGCCACAAAATATTTTATAAAATCAGTGACACATGTTTTCCTGGAACTTTGCTTTTTATGTGCCTGAAATGTCATATATAAATCAAGGGCTGTTATATTGAGTTCAATGACTATGCTTTGTGAATTTCACTATAAAACAAAACAGAACTAAACTAAATCCTCCTACAGAGCATAAAATAACCTCCTAAAAGATTGCGTTTTTAAAGTCACTCTGCCCTAAAGCCAAGCAGGTCCATTTTGGCTAATGTGTGCACTTGTTGTAAGAACATTTGGGGAAAAAAGGAAATTGCCTTAACAGGTGCATCGATGGTTACTATGGAAATCCTTCTTCAGGACAACCATGTCGCCCTTGCCGGTGTCCAGACACTCCCTCGAGCAATCAATACTTTGCCCTCTCCTGTTATCAGGCCCCATGGAGCTCAGATGTAATCTGCAATTGTCTTCAAGGTTACACAGGTATGCATCATGGGACAGCATTAATTTTTTTTTCTTGTATCCTATATTATCATCTGAAAAATGAACCTGTATTCATAATGCACTGCCTTGGACAAACACATGGTGCAGAACGTGTGATCAGTGAACAGTAAGCTACAAGTTGGTAAGTTCCTGTTTTCTTAAACCAGGAATTGAAACGATTAAAAACCAGTGACTGAGTTGAACATTTATTCCACTAAGTGGTCATCATTTCTTTTTTTTTTCTATAATTATATTTTATTAATTTTCATAAACATTTACAGAGATTTTGGGTTTCCATTCATTCATTGTTGCACTATTCTCTCTACCCTCCTCC